CGTACACGACTACCATTAAATAAATTACGTATCCGCGCACATACATTTATACGTGTTAACACATATATAAACTATGTGCGTCTCGTGTGGTTTTATTTGATATTTTTTTTTTAATTTAATTTTATTTTATTTTTTTTATATATATTTCTTTGTTTGCCATGTTTTGTTTTTTTTTTTTTTTGCCACCAAGTGTTGATGACAGTTGCACGTGTGGAAATATTATAAACATTTTCTACATCCCGGACAGTTTTCCGTTGTTCGTTTCGGGATTTGTTTTTGTTTTTTTCATTTGTTTAGAGTATATTTATACGTATATTATTATACGTATATATATATATATATATATATATATATATATTATACACTGTACATCATCCATTTATCATCTATCATTTTAGTTAATATTGTATTACAAACGTTCCATCAGATCGTTTCTCGACAATTACGCTATCAATTATTATTCAAACGGTTTTAACGTACTTAAACTGTTTTTACTTTTGATTCTGATTTATGTTTACATTAATTTTACTTGACTGACATATCATCACGTGTTCATTACTATCATTATTATTTTATTGTTTCTATTTAAAAAAAAAAAAAATTGTTTAAATTCATTATTTTGGTATAATAATCCTATTATTTAAACATATGCGTGCTGTTGTGGTGATAGCTTATTGTAGGCTTTGGTGTAATAAATAATTTGATAATACAAACAAAACTTGTACGAATAAATAATATTATATGTAACATTATAACACTCTTAAATTATTGTTTAAAACATTATTTACATTGCATACATAGTTGTTTAATTTATTTCCTGTTTGGTGTGCAGGGTTTTGGTTTGCAGTGTTTTACATTTTGTTTTATTTTTATTTTTTAGAAATGGAGCATCGATTGATACTATATGCTTTGATATTTAATCATTATTATAAAACACAAATTAATAAATTATTAGTAATCATTTTAATCGCAGGGAGGTTTTCGTACCACATTTTAATTGCCTGTGCCTTTTTCGAGTCATGATAATGTTACATTGGATGACAATGCTTTAGGTTAATTTTGATCTATTGTTGTTAAACGTTGAGTAAATTAACTCTGTAATATATTGTTTTAAATTAACACAGTAAATGTTTTCACTAGCAACGTATAGTAGTTTCTTTATTATGTAAATTAATGATTGGCACGATGTATTATTGTGGACATAACGTCTCAACTATGTCTATAAATATTTAAATTTAAAAAAAAAACCACATAATTTTGAATGGCAATTGAAGTGGGAATGTTCATACGAAGTAGAATGATTATTTTAACATGTTATCATTTTCTAGAGTACTAGGGAAAAATGGCATAATGAACCCGAGTTACACACTTTTAGGCCATACATGATTAATAATGTAACGCACTGTGAGGGTACGTTGATACAAGGGGACGTTGAGCTCCACTGAACATTACAAAACCTTCTGTACTCTACTCCCATTACTCCCGCCACTTATTGGGAGGAGAAACACTTAATGTTTCGTGACGTATCTATTTGAGACTAGTGCAGTTTTTCTTTTTAACAAATTAAACACTAGCGATTATTAATTGCAACTATTACAAACTTTAGCTGCGAAATACTAACCGACTGAACACGAGTACCTGGCTTATATAAATTGAAATTCTTGTGTGAATGTCTAAAGAAGACAGTCGGGGACAGAATTATAAAATAATAATAGCGACAATAAATAAAGACAATTCGTGACTGTTAACCCTGCAAAGCATAAAAAAAAATTAATTGCTTACAGTGTGTATACAGCTATAGAACATTATTTTCGTTTAAATTAGTATAGCGTAGAACTTTATGATTATATATGACACAGATTTTTTTTTTTTTTTAATTTATACTCTTTAATTAATACTGATCATAGAGTTATACCATTCAGTAGTTTAATTTTTTTATAAATGTATAGAAATAATATTAAAACAGAATTACTTAATTTACATAACGAACATCGAATGTCGAACATCGACATCGAATATAGACGATAAAATAATAATACGTACACGGGACATGCTATTCGCAATCGACTATAATAGTGGATTAACTATAAAATAATGAATTTCCTTTCGATTTTCCGGTATTTATCTATAATTTCCGGTGCGAAATAATTCATCAATTCAATTTAGTTCCATACAAATAATCGTATACTTTTATAAATATATTTGCAAAGAAAGAATTATTAATCACAGTCAAATAAAATCTATATTGACTGTACTAAGTTAAATACACGAAAATTTGTTTGAAAAAGAAAATCAATTTTAAACAAGTTGAATAGCCGTATTTTATACTTTTTGTTAAGCTCATTGTGCAAGTGTGAGTATACTAAATAACATTAAAATCGATAGTATTCAGTTAGTTGTTGAAATTTAATTTACAATGTCTGTGTTCATCAAGTCCCGTAACACTTTTCTAGACGATAATTTAATTTTATGAAGCACATCATATTGATATTATAAAGAATTTAAAACCGATTACGTTAAAAACAGTTATATTTTAAATTCAAAAATATACATTTATCATTTATATTTAATATTTGAAATAATTCATTTAACTTTATCTTAAATGTAAATTATGTATTTAGGTTATTTTAAATGAATTGAATATAGATAGGTACCTATTAAAATGTATGTATATGAATGAAAAAAAATGCAACAACATTTTGTTAAAATTTTATTTTATTTTAATTTAAAACAAATGCATACTAATATGATTCACGAAATTGTAATAGTGAAACAGTTAAACAAAAAAAAAAAAAAAATAATAATAATAAAATAAAAATATGTACTTATAGTAATTATATAAAATATATTTCTCTTCGAACATTTCAATGACCTATATAACAGGAAGTCAATCAAACGATGAGTTAGACCGTAACCTCCATAGAATCCGAAAGACCACATGTATTGACCAAATAATAAGTGTAAAAAAATTAATTAAATATTAAACTAAAAACAATGAATAACTGAAAATTACATGAATTACATAAATACAATAGTTTTATGAAGTACGGCGTATATAAATATTCATAAAAAATGTATTGCTATTTTCGCTATGTATCTTATATTAGACGAGTCGATAAAATACTTTAATATATTTATATACATGTCTGCGTATCATACAAATAGTTGGATACATCTATATTTATAATTATTCAGTGGCAAAATTCAGAATATATAAACCTATATTATTAAAAATATTTATGTTTTCCTTTATTCGAATAAGTATAATGTAATTCCCCATCAGACTGAGTTAAATTATTGATATCTATATAAAAAATATGTACATTTTACAATATAGACAGGTTACTGGGTCAAATGTTTAATAACTTTTAAAACACAACATAGGTTATCATGATCCCCTGGGAAAATAGTTGTAAAACTACAATACAATAGTAATTAAATTAACATTTATGGAATATTATAATAACGATTTTCATGTTTCATTTAAAGGCAAAAAAAATATATAGCCATAAAACACAACCAAAAACAGTATTAAAGACAGATAAATACCCCACAAATTTTAATTGATTACAATATATGTATAGGCCGAACACTCACAAATGCGTGTCAAATACATAATTTATAAAAAAAAAAAAATTAAAAAAACTGAACACTGACATTATAACGTTCACAATAATTATTAAACACTAATAACTGCATTACCAACTTGATTCCATATACTATAAAATATAAATACGATTAAAATATAACACCCGAGCACCAAAATACTCATTATAAAACCCAAAGTGATACGTTTTACTTAAACACTTAAAAGCCCTCGACTTAGATTTATGGAAGATTTTCGGAAGGAAATGTAAGATAAATCTTTATGAGCATTCCCGATTAAATAAATATAGCTACCTAATTACATATAAACATTTACTTACACACACATACAATTTATAACCGTCTGCCAAAAGCTAATATTTCGATGGAAATCGACGGGATTTGAGTTACTTAATAATATGCCAATTTTCCCTAAGACTACGTTATACGGATGATAATATATGCATCCCATCAGCGAACACCAGCCACTTTACACGTAATTAAGTCGATTTTTAAGAGTAATAATCAAAACTGTTGGCTAATAGAATATTAATTTCGTATCCAAAGTTCTACAAATAATTAACCACCATAATTGATGTCCGTATCAGGACGATTTGTTGTTCTTAAAAACTGACTTAAAAGTGAATCCTTAATTTTAACACAGTATAATAGCTGCACGCTCGCAGGGCCGGTCTTGGACGAATAAGACCCCTGGGCAAAAAATATCAATGTAACCCTTATTGATTTCTATGGGAAAGACAGTGGTATTTTTCATATTTGTTTTTTCTTCCCACAAAGGGATACAATTTCAAATAATAAATAATAATAATAAAAAAAAAAAAATTATAAACCAATCAGTCATGATATATTCTTATCAATTTACACGAACGCGATAAAAAAAATAATGACCTTTAATACAGAAGGTCCATTAGATTACGTACAATTTATATGTACCTACGTAACTATTCGATTTCGGTGTATAATTTCGTTTTTCGTTGTTATTTATTACTACACATACATGTGTCGCATTTATTTATCGTTATCAATATAATTTTTATGCTCGAGGGTTGGACAAAAATATAAATGTTCAAAAAAATAAATAAATATTTTACGAAAAATGAAAGGGAATCGCGACCGACCTGTTGGCCACTTTTGCCCTTGGAAGATCACTCCGTTCGCCCAATACTGAGACCTGCATTACGTGCACACACACACACTCACACACACACACATACACATGCACACATTCAAACGCGCGTGTAATATTGTCCGGTGTACGTAAAACGAAAATAATTACAATAATAATCACAGCAGTAATCGATCGAATATCGTGTGCATTGATCGCAGACGCGAGTGCGCAGCGTCGTCGAAATACCGAGCGAGAAAAGTTCTGACCGACGTTGGTTATGTTTCAGGGTGCAGCCGAGCTACCTGTACCAGGCCGGCCAGGCGGCCAGCGCGGCGTACCTAGGAGGCGGCGGCGTCATGCCGCTGGCTCCCACGCACGCCGCGGCGATGGCCGCGGCCACGTCGCAGTTCTACGAGTATCAGAACGCCGCCGCGGCCGCGGCCGCCGCAGCGGCCCTGTCGTCCT